AAAAATTTCACTTGAACATGCTTTATTTGATTGATAACAAAAAGTAAGATTATTTATTTTATTGGATGTAAAAATTCTAGATCAATAAAATGAATGGTTGTTAACATTTTAAAGTTGTACTAGGTAGTACAAGATGTTCAAATGGAATTATATAATCAACATAACAGTTTAAGTTTTTAATAGTTGAAACATAGTTTTGTATGTAAATAGATAACTTTTATTGAAATGATTATCAATGATTTTGTAATTTTCAATGTATAAAACACATATTTTAACAGTCCTTTACACATAAAAATCAAATGTTATATTTTAATACAGCTTTGGTCAAGTTAATAATTTCTATTTATGTATCATAAAACCTTGATTTTTTTCTAACGATAGTAGTATCTTCCATTCTAATAAAAATGTTTGACAATACTAATTGTAACGCTTAGTTTAGATTCTCTGCAGTTAGGAAAATTCTATTGTCATCACAGAGTTGCACTAAAATTCACATTACTGAGTTTGGAACACACGCGTTCTAGATTGAAACTAAACGATTCCGATTAATCTTGATGAAAAAAACAGTTTATAAGACAACTTTCTAATAACACTAGTTTCTTTTTCGAATAGACGGGTGTTGGTGTGTATATAGTTGAAAAGACGACACACACACTTACACCCTGACTAATGGTTTGCAGAGTTCTCTTATCAGCCTTCGCTCATCTTCTACAGAGTCCTCAAAACATTTGTTCAAAAGGTTTCAGAAAAATTGCTCATGCGATCACAAGGAAATATGAACCTTGCTGTATCTATTTAGCTTAAGATTGATTAGCTGTAAGTTAATAGTAGAAAGAGACGGAAAATAACATTTCTATGAAGTAATGACATATTTCTTTTGCTATTCATAGTTTTTGTAGATTGTATTTTGCACCACTTCTGAATCCTCAATTTCTGAGCATTCAATTCTCTATAAAGCTAAACCTATTACAATAGACTTGAACTCCAACGAATAAATGGATTGCTTGGATTGTAAAACAACATTCGATCAAAAATTTAATTATTTGAAGGCTTCCTTTTATAATGCAACAAATTGCGTGTCTTTTCTTCAAGATAGAAAACTCATTAATACCAATGTCTTTTATGTTTTGCTTTTCGATAATGTCAAACATTTGATTCATTTCTAAACAATTCTAAGTCAGAGATATACTCCAATCAAATATTTGAAAAGAACAAAAAAAGTTCTAATTTTAGCTAACTATTTTTAATTCTCAAAAACTACGTTTAGATGACTGGAAAGTGAATAAATACTTTATTTCAAAACTTTTATAACAGAGATTATGCTGATCATTTTATTATAATTTTAATAGCAGATGAAGAAAATTTCGACGACCATTATTTTATGATCATTCATAGCTAATTACAACAACAATGATTTATTTAATTGATTGTATATGAATTTTAAATGAATACAGTTTATCTTATATATAATGACGAAAAAAGCACTTGTTTAATTAGTGGCTTAATTTCGAAAAGATTTAAAGATTAATTTTCAAGTGAATATTGAAGATTTTCCTTCGTTAAAAAATTTGATGGAAATATGATTGTAGTGAACGAAAGAGTTTTTGATATTATTTTATGATAGATTTTGGAAGAAAATGAAATTATTTTGTTGTTTAAACATAATTGTAAAATTTATATGGAATATATTCAAGAAAGCCATTGTTGGGATTAATATGAAAACATTTAGTTCGATTAATGAATTAACTGATTAACAAGATGACTACAATTTATAGTATTAAACGGTTTAACAGACATTTGATCAATAACTATAACATAATTATTTATATTGAATACATTTAAAGAAGATTAGTAGAAAAATCTGCCAATTATAATATTGAATTGTCAATATCAAATAAAATTTCAAGTAGACGATATTCAACATAAAATGTATAAATTATCTTGCAAAGCTCAATACTAAGATAATATCCATACTAATACTTATGATATATTCATTCGATGAAATATACATCCGACAAAACGACTTGAATTGAAATTTTTTTTAGGTTTTTAATTTCTACTCATAATAGTTTAGACAATGGGTTAAATTCATTGAATAGTATCGAATGAGCATTATTGAAGTCCGAAATTTGAGAGCATTTCATCAGACACTTAGTTAGAGTAGAGATAAGAGGTTTTTTTACTGAAATAATTAATGCAATAAAATCTATAAGTTAAATGAAATTTGATCACAAATAGTATCTTCTGTTAAATATGTATCTGAGTTTGATTATTTTTCAATTCAGAATACACAGCAATAAATACATAAACAACATTCCAATGAGAATAAATATATTTATATAGACAGAGAGAGAGAGAGGAAGAAAAAGATAAAAGAAACGAATAAGGTATATGAGATAATAATGCGTGACCTTGTGTGTTATTACGGATTATAGCACTCTTCTTTAACACAAAAAAACGATGTTTCATATATCGTATTGTGTTTTTTTCTTATTTAGAAAGAAATAACGAAAGGAAGCAAGTGTTACGAATAACAGATATGATGAAAAAGAACTAGTAAAATTTACAGAACAAAAACGTGAGACAAAAAAATCTTGTTGTACAACGTATTGCTCTGAGAAATTCATAGAAGTACGTGGGTTGTTAAAAATATATGCATCGGAGAAGACAAATTTAGTAGATGCTCTTCAATAAATGTAAGTTGAATAGGTAAACTAGATGATTTAACGTGTAACAAGAAAAAGATCATAAACACTTGTTTCATCAAGTAGAGCACCAATTTGAATGAAATCAAAACCATTTGCTAAAAGAAATAATCAAATATGAATAATAATGTCTAAAGTATGATAAAACCTTTTGGAAAAAAATTAAGTTAAGTCATTCAAGTTTCATATTAAATAATACAATTATTTTGAAGTGATAGGTGACATAAAGAGTTCTATCATTATCAGCTTCGTCATACCAATAAGTATTGATTCTTTAGTTCCACAATAAATATAAGTTCATCGTGTCCAGAAAGAATATTCTTAATATATAATGATGAATCTATGCAAATACAGTAGTGAAACACAAACAAAAAATTCAATAGCATTAAGTGTCCAAGTATTCATTCATTAAATACTTCAAGGTGTAAATAAATTGAGTTAAGTACTGGAATGAATCAATAGTGATCTGAAATCATTAACATGAACGCTTGATGTTGTTTTGGAGTTTATACCTTGAACCCAATGAATTGGATGTTGTTTGTTGAAAATAATTCTTGTGTTAACTAAAAATTTTGATTTTAATTTTGATTTCGAGATTGTGTTTTTTTTTGTTGTAAAGTGTTTTGTTAGACTGCAACATGATAATAATTTAAATAAAAGACAAGTTGTTGAAAATAACCATTGAGTTGAGAAAATGTAAATGCTGTTGGTGGGTGATCAGTTGAAAGATTAGCTTTTCGACCGAATGTAACTTCATATAGAGAAATGTTAGTTGTTGAATGAATATCAGTATTATATGCAAATACAATGGAATATAAGTATTCGTCTCACGTATTGGATTTATAATCAGTTAATTTAGAAAGTTGAGTAACCAATATATTATTAAAACGTTGTACTTGTCCATTAGATTGAGGGTGATTTGGAGTGCAAAGAATGTGATGATAACCAAATAATCATGAAAGTAGAAACATGAATTGATTCTTGAAGCTAGTACCTTGATCATATATATTATTGCTCTACGCACACCATGACGACATATATATTCTTTGCAAATAGCTTCAACTGTAATTTAAGCAGAACATACTTGTAATGGTATAGCAGTTACAAATTAGGTAAAATAGTTGGTGAGACTTAAAATATATCTAATTATCTTGTGGTGATCTTAGAAATAGATCACTGAAGTCCATTTCAATTGATTGATTATAACCGGCAGGAGGTGAAACTGGGTGACGAAACCTAGAGGTTTTTGTCGACTAATAATATAAGCTTAATAAACAACAGAAGATTTTGTATCATCAATATCAGATTTCTTCATATTTGCACTACAAAACTTGTTCAATTTGATTTAATTTTCTTTTATCTACAACATAATCACCAAACAAAGGATGATATTGATAAGAAGCAAATAATGATTTTATCGTAGAAGATAGAATATAAATTAATTTCTGTTTTATTTTATCATGATAATTACACTGCAATTTCTATAAAATACCGTCTTTAAAATCAAATGAAATATTTGGGTTTTGTTTTACATCATCAATAATTTTAAAAATTTGAATGTCATTATTTGGATGCTCTTTTAATTTTGTAATATCGTAATATTCATTAACATAATATGAATGATTAGAAACAGTTAAAAAAGATGTAACATTAGTTGCTGCTGAGTTCGATTTGGAACGTGTAACAACTGCGTGATGTAATTGAATATAAGAGTAAGATTTATGTCGCTTAAATCTCAACCCATATTCAGAATTAAGTAATTCATCATATGAGATAGGATGTCGTAAAAGATAATTAGACAATAGTTAACAATTGGGGAATAAATTGTTTATACCATGATAATCCATATATAAAACCATTTGTTTGTGCTCATGATTTAGGTTCTGATTATATAATAGTAGATTTTATTTTATCTGGTAATGGAGTAATTGACTATGTAACTGTACATACTTAATAATTTTCTCGAGATATATCCAATTGTTATCGCAAGTGCGAGAGAAAATAATCATAACATCTAAGCAAAACAAGGAAAATCAGTATATGATGATTATACATTACTTATGATACATTGAAGACGTGGAGGAGCATTACGAGAACCTTGAGGGAGATAATATCATTCATAATAACTAAAAGCGGTGATAAAAGCTGCTTTAAAACGATCTTTTCATCAATGGATGATTGCTAAAACCCCAACTTTAAATCAAGTTTGAAAAAACAATGATAATCTTCACCTAATACTTAAATGGTGATTTCCATGTTGCTGAGAAAACAGTTATTTTTGATTTTTATTAAATTTCATTTTTTATAATCAATAACTAATATCCAACTATGATTTTTCTTCTCTAATAAGAATGCGGAAGCTACATAAGTTGATTGAAATTGATGTACAAGACCAGCATCGGGTAAATTATTGATAATCAATCGCATTTCTGAATGTATATTTGGATTACCGGGATAAAGTTTTGAAACAGGTGGTGTATGAGGATATGTTTTAATCGCATGATTTAGTTTTGTTTGTGCAATTGTATATTTGCTTGTATCAAAAGTACATTGAAATTTAAATAATAATTATTAAGTTGGATCATGTTGAGTTTGATCAATAATATGATGTAATAAATTGAAAATTTCTTGTTGGCGTTAAGTGAATTGTAATAGTGTAGTAACGGTATTTAATTTGTTTATAATGGTTTTATGTTCCTAGAGTGTGATAACTTTGTAGAAAGCTCAATAGTTGCTATTTCTGTATCCACAGGTATCGAGATCTTATAATAACTAAAATTAAATAAAATGGATTTTTTCATTGGTTTAATTTCTAAATCATATTTCAAGAAATAATCCATACCTTTTGTAAGATTTATATATGAATTATTGTAACAAAGTTTGGAATACTTGTTATAATATCATCTGTACGAATAATCAAATGAACAAATTCCTGTAATGATGAATGAAGTTAATCCATCAGTCATATAAATTTATTGATGATGTATATTTCAAAATTTTAATTGATCATTAAATTTTAAATATTTTTCATTAATAAATTAATATTCCGCTTTAGTATTAGTTATAATTTTCATGTGTTTATGGTTAACATGCGTGGTAAAAAATAAAAGGGTCAGATGAATGTTGCGATCAATAGGCAAAGTCAATACCACGAATTATTGATCTTGTTCTCTGGAATGCTAACAATGGCGAGCTGTGTGATAGACAAAAGGTGTAGTTTACCATTACTATTTCGATAGATATTAATAATAAGCGATGGTGGTATAAAATTTGTTAATGATTTAACATTATATACTTAACGAGATGAATGAGGAGATTGACTTCGTTCATATGAATTAAAGAAGATGATTTGAGAATTCCATTCAAATAAGAGTGTGGATCGGTATCATTGGATGATTAATGATTTTTATAATAATGATAATCATCATTATAATCTCTAGAATAATCTTTAAAATCATTTTTTAATGCTGGATTAGTTGTCATTGACTATGGAAAAGAAATACGCGTTGCTAAATCATCATTATTCATAGAATTGGAGACAAAAGTGGTTCTTAATGCCGTAAGTTCTTCAACAATTTGAACTGGTTTTGAAAAATCTTATGCAGTTTTTTGATGATTTATTTGGCTTTCAGTAAGTAAAGATAGACGAAGCCAATTCATAAGGTCGTGGACTTTTATAAATTCATTTATGCGTCAATCAGCTTGTTGCATGAACTTAATCATTTCAAGATAGTATTGAATACCAGATTGATGAATTGATTGTTGATATTGGTTTAATTTTTTAAATGCTAAATCATATTGTAAATTCGATGCAAACGATTGTTTTATTTCATTCATAAATAGACCAAGATATGAATTGTGCTTGATGTTGTTTATACCAATGATGTAGTTGCCCTTTAGAACATATATGAATCAAATTTAATTTATTTAAACTACTTAAATTCATGATTTCAAATTCTTTGTTCAATTTTATCAAGTTATATAATAACATTATCTTTTCCACAATAAAATTAAATTGGATCCTTAACGAATCTATCAATTAAAAATTTTGGTCTATTTGGCGATAAGATAGAACTCGATAAATAAGTATTATTTGAATCAGATGATGTTATACTAGTAAAAGCTATTGATCTTGTTGTATCATTTGAAAGATTTGTAGACTTATTAATTAAATTATAATTAATAACAGTATGCTAATGTAATGATGAAGATTTACGTTTTTTGCTCCGTGGAAACACCACGATCGAGTAATTATTGCAATTCAACATTTTAATTTCATGAAATTTGTAATCAATAATTGATTTTTTTTAAAAATAATGATGGTCGTAAATAATTTGATAATTCATTTTCAAAATCATTCATGTAAAAATTTAATTTTGTTTAAAACTTGTAAACCGTGATTGTAACCTATTATCTAATTTTGTAACTATATTTCACAATACGAATGTCATCAGAATTTTTTTATTCATTCAAAATATCTTCAGCTTAAGATAAAAATTCATCAACATTGGATTAATATGGAGATTTAAAACAAGAAATCTTCGATGAAAATATATTTTTCAATTGCCATATTTTACGTTAAATTTCTTCTAGTTCTAAAATATCATTAGTTTTATAAATGATTGGAATTAATTGGGAAACTATATGTGGATTATTTGGAGAGCATGAATACAATTCTTGTTTCACAAATAAAGATGAAATAAAACTCGATTCTAATTTTGATTTTTGTATAATTGTTTCTGGCTTTCGACATTTAAATGAAAATTGAAGATCAGTAACAGGTGAGTCTGTTCATTGACGTGTATTATGTGTGATCATCAATATGCAGTATTCATAATGGAGAAATTGAAGTACATGTATGTTTTTCTATGCCAAAGCTCACCACTTGTAAAAGATGATTCAGACTTTCTTTATCTTTCAGTTCAGAATACACATATACAAATACACGCATACATAATAATAACATAATCATATAATTGACCATGAGAGCGAAATGTACATGGTCGCATCAATGCATCGATATAGAGAATAAGAAAAAAACGCGAAAGAAAAAGCTTATGACAAGGACAATGTATGATCTTGAGTGTTAACATGGATCATAGTAACGACTAGGCGACTGCACTTCATAGCTTCTGCAGAAGATTTTTTTACATTCGTAAAGGTAATGCATTGATGATGTTGATTCCGTCTCGAAAAATCTTTGTAATTTGTTTTTCTTTCAACATGTGATGCTTTAATAAAATGCTGAAAATAGAAAATTAAAGCAGCATTCTTTTTACTTTTTCGTAAAACATGGTTAGATAGAGTGTGAGAAGCCAATTAAGAACATACATGTTTGCACCTTTTTTTGAAATGAATTTTCAGGAGAAAACCTTCAAGTTTTCACAATGACCTTCTGTTTATAAAAAGTAGGTCAATCTTTTTTTTTCCTTCAAAATTCAAAACTTCGTGTTTCGGATTTAGCATAACATATTGAATATGGAAAAGTGATTTATAAATCACTTCCCTATATTCAATATGTCATGCTGAATTCGAAATACACAGTTTTAAAAATTGAAGAAAACAATTTTTCTTTTATGTTACATTTTTGATACTTTGTTTTTTCCATCACTTCATGTTTTACTACTAATATTTTTAAAAAACGACAGCTAAGAATAGAGCACTTCTTCATACGAAGGATTGTTGATCAAGGACATTTTTGCTAAGGACCATTATACGTGAACAATTTTTTATGATAATAACAACTCTGGGACATTTTTCAAAGAACAGTTAAGAGCCAATTTTTTCATTAATCTGATCAAATTTTTATTATAGCGTATGATATGGAAAAAAAATCAAAATTTTGAAGAAAATGCAGTATATCTCAAAAAAAATAAATAAATTCTGATAGCTGTGCGCAAAACAATTGATGTTGCAAAAGAAGCGTTTTATTTTTATTGATAGGTGATCAGTCGTTGTAACGCGCATTATTTCTGTTTTCGTTGATTACAGTTTATAATGGTTAGATAATGAGATGAATAATCATTTTACCTGTCCAGAATAATTCGAAATGCATCAATCAAAAGCACATTAGGAATGCCGTACTAAATACAAAATGGAAAAGAAAAACATTTTAATGATGCAGCATATATTTCGTGCGGTGGTGATGTCCTGTTAATTTATTTGAAATTTAAATTTTTTTCAATTTAAATCAATAAAATTTAAATTTATTCTAAATTTAAATTGGATTGCAATAGGACTTAGATCGGATTGAAACCGATTTAAATGCAATTAGAATCGGATTTGAACCTATCTAAATCCATTTAAACTGTATTTAAATCGGGTTGCAATCCAATCTATATTGATTTGAATTCAATTTAAATTCATTTAAATCTGATTTAAATCCATTACGATCCAATTTTAGTCTATTTCAATCGAATTTAAATCTAAAATTATTTATCCAAAATTTATTTTTCGATTGAATAGATTTTCGTAAATGTAAATTAATCACACCTTTTTTTTTCATGTGCATACAGTGTTGATGATATCAAATAACAAAACGGGATTGATCGTTTTTAATTTTTGACTTGATTTCATATATTTTGAACGTCATTCCTCTCCGATTTTTGGAAAGAAGTGCTTTGAAATAGTCTATAGATATAGATAAAGTTCATATATGTTTCATTTTGAAACAGTGATTTTCGAGATTGAAGAGATAAAATTTTCAAAAAATATGATCTTTATTCAGTAATAAATGTCGCAAAAGAAAACACGATCGATAGCACTTCCATCGTAATTTCTAGAGTTGTTATTGCACACCTTGCAAAATTTCTAAATGAGGGTCAATGTGAATCCGTCCAAAATTTCATGATCGATAGAAAGTATATTTGCTTTCTGCTTATGATCCATTCCTGATCAAAACATCATACCAAATCACGTGGCCGTAAAACATAAAGACAATCTACGCAATACGAAGTAGAGAATAGAAGGTTTACAATGCTTCAAAGACTATTAAAAAATACTTAAAATAATAAGTGACACGAATCAAACTTCGCTAATCCTCTTGTTGACAGAAGAATAATATGGTAGAAATAAGATGAAGAGTAGTGAAGTTTCCAAATTCCATGGATATATCTACTTTTATTGAACTAACATTTTAGATTATATTAGTTATAATATCGGGATGGATTCAAAAACAATGAGCATTTTGATGGAATATTTATGGGTTATTTTGGGTTTATTTGAAAATGACCTGTATTAGTTGTGTGCATGCCGAGTTCGAATAATCGAACAAGAAAAATTTCGACAGAGAGTGCTGCCTCCATTAAGAGCTACGTTGTTATCCATTATTACTGATAGAGTAAGTAACAGCTTATGAAGCTGCTCAGTTGTAGTGAACAATCGGCTGTGAAAAAATAAATCTTTAGACATACACACACTCTTAAATTGAGAAAAGGTAAAAGCGATATTTTTTATTTCCATTGTTATTTGTATTCTCTCAATATCATGAAAAACATGTCATTTTAAATTAGAGACAAAACAAAACAACATAATGCATAAAAAAAATACAATAGGTATATAAAAATAGTCTTGTTTGTATTACCTATACAACGACAAACAAAATATGTATAATTATACAAGTGGGAGAGAGACAACAAAAAGAACAATTGAGATTGGAATGTGTTTTTCGTCGTTAGGAAAGTGTAGGTTGTGTATAGTATGTAAAAGATGTTAATGTGCACTAATTCAGCAATTGTACTATTCTTGCTTACGGGCTTATTCACAGTGATACTAAGCTAGATGAAATGATGAAGAAAAAAAAAGGAGATGCATAGAGTGTAAAATTTTATGCTCACAGAAAATACCATTCTAACTCGGTTTGTTTCAATAGCATGATGCTCACTTTTATACTTTCTTTATTGTTGATTATTTTTCATCTTATTTGAATTTTTCTCTTTGGTTTTCTGCTTTCTACTGTTGTTGATGGTGTTACTATTGTTATTATCATTGACATTTTTTTCTGAACTATGACTCATCTTTCATCATCGTGTAAATAATGTTGGTTGCGTATTAAGACGTTGTTATTCTCTTTCAAAATAAAATATCGTAACGATTTAATTAGTAAAATTTTTTTCAATAGCATGAAGATCAGTTACAATAGGTTGTCTTTTCCTTGAACTCTCATTTTGTGCAATAGACAATGCTTCTAAAGTTTATATAACTTTGTCCTAGTGATATACAACGATTGAAGATTTTTATATTGTTTCTCCTACAATGAAGGATTCACATTGTTATTCAAAACGTTGAAGTTCAATTACAAATTATATATAAAACAGTAGAAGCAGCTGATCTTCATTTTATTATCATCAATCTGATTGTGATACTACGTCTAAGACTTTGTGACAGTTATAATGTCAATGAAATATGTTTAACACTAAAGCAATCACAAAAAATCAACGAAAGTAAAAGTGAACAATTAATGAGTATTTGAATTATTTATCAACAAACTAACTGATCATATTGGATCTTATTTTAATAATATTAGTGAGTTATTTTGAAAAATTATCATTTTTACATACTTAATCATTTCATTTTCTTAGTTAAGAGGATTTGCAGATGTTGATGATGTATTTTACATTAAAGATTTCAATAAGAATCGATTATGCTGTGAATTCTAATATAGTACATGTAATACTATAATCTAAAACAAAAATAACAAAGTAAATCATGAAGCTTGGTCGTTCATCTAGAACAAAACAGATTATTTTTCTGCATAGATAAGAACTAATCATCAACATGTTCCACATATTGGTAGGGATGATGACGAAAATTATCTTATTGTCGAAAAAAGAAAATGATGATGGTACAAGAACATGTGATCAATTATATTTATTTTTATTAAATCGTATCAAATCGTTCGAAACTTTCCGTTTTGTGCCGACTTAAGAAAAAATAAACCAGTCGAAAGAACATTACAAGTGAAGCAAAACGTATTAACTTTCTTGAAGGTGTATTCTCAAGTCTCTGGCAAAAATATTTTAAATGGATTCTTCAGCAGCAACAGCAACAATCTTTCGATCAATCTAATGATGGTGTTACTTGTTCTTTACTTTGTACAATAGTTATAAATACAATCTTACATTGATAAAATGAACACAAATAATTTTTTTACCTTTATAAATATAAAGATAAATTCTTTATATCTGAAAAATAAGTATAAATAAATGAATGAATCTTTATTATTTAAACGATAAAGATAAATAAAATCTTTCATCTTATAAAGCCGATTTACAGGGATTTTTTATTTTGAAAAGTAAAGATTAAGTAAAAAAGAAAGATTTTTTTAATGTGATTGATAAATAGACAAATAGCTAGTATAAAAACAGCATGTATTCATCAATATCCTTTCTTATCACTAGCATAATTTCGCGGTGTTATATTATTAAAAGACGAACTGATGCATGAAAAACAATCTATGCAAAAATTTCTTCTATATAGTCCATTTCCATCTATGATATCATAACCTTTTGTGCACTATTTGGTAAAAATCAAATATTATGCCCTCATAGAAAACAGTTTCTTTATTATTTATTTTACTTTTATTGTACAAAGATTAATAAGAAAAATTCTTTATCCTTATTTTATAGATAGAAAGATATCATTTAAGTTTATTTTTTCAATAGGAAGATTTTCTTTATATTTTTTTATTATAAAGAAAAGTAAACACAAATGTAACGCCCCCACTCTTTACATATCTCTTATGCAGCTTGTTTTTTTTTATTATTTCGTTTTTATCGTTCTATGTGACATTAGCACGAAAATATGCACTGCTTAACATGTCAAGGATAAAGATGAAAACGAAATGATTAAAAAGATTAGTCATTCAGACAGAGATATTAGGAGAGAACGAAAGATTGTCGGTGTTTCTGATTGAGAATCTAACTTTAAAATTTGCAGTAAAGACTTAAGAGTATGCCTTCCAGAAAATGAGTATAGTTTGCTCAATTTTTTTAATGCTCTTTCAACTAGT